TGGAAGGCAAAGATTGATAAAAGCTTGGTTCATATTGAATCCTAACCCAGAGGCCTCTGTGAAAACTCAGATTGTCCCAAACGACAACATAAATTGGCAGCTCATCCTGCTGCCCTAACAGAGCATCTCGCATGTGATTGAGGAAGATATGTACACATTTTTGTAGGTGATGTAGGCCAACTACAGTAAATCACTACTTTACAGTAACCAACATTTATGCGTCTGGATAAATACAAACCAGTACATACTGGAATCTTTGCTCTTCGACTCCATCAGAGATATGTTCAAAGGGCATTCAGTACAGCTGTTTCATGCGCAGTCTGTTGCACTTGAGGACTCGGTCTACAGTAGAGAGGCTGACACTGTCAATACCCTCAAAATGCACATGGTCATCAATGATCCTCAGCTGAATTTCACGCAGTTTAATAGTGTTGTTCTTACAGACCATATCGACAATTAGGGTCTCTTGGTGTGGGGAGAACATAGATGTCCTACCACCCCCATGTGGCAGTCTTTCAATTCTACAAAAGAGAAAATGCACTTACAAAAATACATACATGGAATAGGCCTACAAACAGTCAGACTAACCCTCCATTACAGTACCTCAGTACACTGGCATAGTGATGTACTAAAACATGTTTACTGTGGTACAGTATATAGTACAGTCATTGTACATATGTAATTGTTGTCAACATTTACATAATATGATGTCAAAAAAGGTAACTACCTGTTCTCTTCTCCAAATCTTCGGATTATGGTGGACACGGTGAATCTACTGATGTTTGGTTGTGCCCTTAGTCTGGCCGCCTCCATTGTCATACCATAGACAAGAACATGGTCAATCACAGTAGCTCTGATTTCATCTGATTTTACTGTTCTTTCTCCTCTCTGACCACCTCAACCACCTTGACCTGCTCAACCTCCTCTCACACGAACTCCTCTTTTTGGATTTCTATCCATTGTAGTGCCTCACAAACCAGTGTTTTGGCTTATATGTACCCTCACATCATTAGCCACAAGTGTGATAAACACACACAAAACTTTCAACTTGTCTTTCAAAACCAAACACTTGACCCAAGACTATTTTACAGTTTTCTGAATTGCTAAAACACTAAAACCCATTGTAAAAACTAAACTCTCAACTATGAAAACTCTTTCATCAAAAAACATTCGTTTCATGGAAATGTTTCTTTCTTAACAACACTTGTTTATTTCTAACATTCTCAAACATCTCAAAGCATGAGCTGAATAATCCTGCTCTCCAGTGGTCGTTTGTGTGGAAACATGAGAAAAAATGTAAACAATCAACACTGAAATTCAATTCAATTTATTTATACAGCACCAAATCACAACAAATAGTCGCCTCAAGGTGCTTTATATTATAAGTTACACACTTCAAGAATATATACAGAGAAAAACACAACAATCATATGACCCCCTATGAGCAAGCACTTTGGCGA